TGAAACAATTTCGAAACCCTCTCCTTCGTAGCTCCGTTGTAGCAAACTTTGAGTTTTTGCAATTTTGCAATTGCACACCTGCGCAGCAACATTTTTAGATTCCACTAGGCGTTAGCAAAAAAATCAAGAAAGATTGATTTTAAGATTTTTTAGGGTGATCGGTAAAAAGTGGGGCAGCTTGATTTTTATTAAATTTTGAGATTTTTTGTTTTGATCAACAACAAGCAGGCTGCAACGTTAACGTCGTTTATATAAGCGACCTTCGCCTATTATTCTGGCAAAGCTTCAACGCTCCTTTCCCAAAACCCTACGCGTGGCGCCCTAAAGAACGCAAACAGGGTTTTTTGAACATCGCTCATTCTTGCGCTGCCATACCGTAAAGTTATAGAGCAGTTGATACATCATTCGAAATAGCTCTTCATGCTCTTTCAAATAGTATATTAAACATACAGGATTATTTTCTACTTCTGGGTAAAAAAAGTGAAATACCTGAAAAGTCGCGATTTTTTGGCGCAACAAAAACCAATAAATCAAGTTTCAATCTGTATTTTCCAAAGATAGATAAAATATGAGGTAAGCTGCGTACGGATGGATAGAGCGCAAAAAGCTCTTTCAAATGGTACCTATAAAACTTGCGTTCACCTGCAAAGAATTGAAAGCACTTATCTTTGTTCTCAGAGCTGCTAATGGCATTATCTCCTGAATTCGAAAGTTGAGGCCAGCAATCCATTGTGAGTCTGGTGACTGTATCTTCACGCATTGCAGCAGTAGTACTTTGGATGGTTTCGCATGTTTCACTGCGCAGATACTGCGCAAAGTTTATAATTTGTCAAAGTGACTAACTTTGCATTTCAGCCACTATAAAAATTATTAGGTATGTAAATGATCTCATATAGGTATTTTCTGAAAGAGAATAATTTATTCTAACAATTATCAAATTGGGAAGTTTAATCACTTTTCTTTTTTGAGAAATCTACATTTATTCCCTAGGTGCCCCATTTTTTACCCATCACCCAATAGTTGGTGTACCCTATTTTCAAATGTATAAGCCGCACTTTTTAAAATTTTCAAACGAGCTTCTCAGCCGCTTCATTGTGTTTCGAGAAGCGCTCCTTATGCCGCACGATTTTCTCAGTCTACGCAGCACGGTGTAGGGTGTTTTCGTTGCGAGGTTCTTTGATGTGTTCGGGCTGGTCGATGTAAGCTAGGACCACGCGGCTTATACACCTGAAAATAAGGTAGTGGTTTGCTATTTCTTGAACATGGCGTCTCTTTCACTCCGATTTCACACCTATTGCTGTTCAAGTCCCCATTCCTTTCGTGCGATGCGCCTGGGCTTCTACACAATGACTTCGCGATCGCGGTTTGAACAGCCTATATCTTCACCACATCACCGCACTGTTTATGCCGCAGCGCCTATCTAGCAGCGAGGAGTTTTCGTGAGGCACATGGGCACATGAGGCACAGGAAATTTTGCGCGCGGGTGGCCATTCAGCTATTCTATGGTTACACCCAACAGCAAAATCAAATTCTGGAAGAGTTCGTGTACATATCGCCTTCACGGAAGTATCACAAAATTGAAAACGCATTTCGCAACAAAAATATATTGCGGACTTACAAGGGTAATGACGAAATCTAATTTTTGACTATAAGCGTCATTGCGATGACCTGTTAAAGGTATCCAAAATTGCATAACTCATTATGCGAGGCGTGTGAGGACGTACGAGCTCTAACGGAAGGATAATAAAAGGCGCCGTTTGCAGCCTTTTCGCAATAAACCAGAATCAGGGATCAGCCTTCAAGTGGTTCGTATGCTTATTGGCTATAACTTTTCATCGTATTACCTTGAGATTCTCATTTTTTTCGTTCGAAAAGTAAAAAGATCGACTTTTTAAAATGTGTGTTTTGATGGACGAGGATGATGTCCATAAGCAGGGTCAAGCAAGGAGTGTGGCACGCACGCTATCTGAAGGGGACAAAAAGAAAGAAGATCGTAACTGAAGTAACATTGATGCTGGACAAACCATGATAGTAGTTAACGGTTTGTCAGCTAACCTCATTATGCAAAATACAAACACAATGAAATATTGACCCATCACTATACCTACCGCAACAGGAAGGAGGTGGTCTATCAAGCATGATGAGTATCATTTTCGTAATTAGCATGCTAAGTAGCCCTAGTGGGCCATGTTTCAGCGATTTCTCAGGTGTCCAGGAACTGGTCTACCCAGCTGAAACGACCACTTTTTAAACATATACTTTGTTGCAAGATGAGGACTACATCTTTTTGCACTCGGTACAAGGCACTGCTCCTCGTTGGTCCACATCAGCAATCTACTTCAAATAACGTCAAGCTAAAGTAGAAGCTCAATAAAATGCCGTTCATCCCTACTTTTCGTTTTCAGTAATTGCCTTTTAGCAAGCAATGAAAACGAAAAAATGAGGTGAACAAGATCTTAGCTTCTGGTTCCATATCTTGGCGCAATCTGAAGTAGAATTGCTGATATGGACCAACAAGGAGCCGTTATTTGTATCGAATGCAAGAAAAGCTCAAAGCTAAGCTCTACTGCTATGGAAACTATGAACTTCAGGCTATCAAACTATCCAAATATTTTACCCAAACGGCAGCTCAGGTAGTGCTTTAAAGACTGAGATATACGCCGGGTAGGGGAATGAACTCCGCCAGTTTGAGCCCCCCCCCCTCTTAGCTGGCAACTGGTCTTTTTGCAATATTGTTGCATGTCGTTGCAGGACCAATAACGCCTCCAAATTAGACCCCAGGATCGTATTTCGCATGAATACATGACGCACAGTTTCGCACGAGGACCCACTGATTGCTCATAAATTCATGCTCAATATGATCCTGGGGTCCAGTTTCGAAAGGTATATCTACTGTAAGAGATCCTCTCGCGTGATATACATAGCTATGGCTCATCTATTCAAGGCATGGCCAGACTGTTCGCTGCCGAGGAGTCTCCCCACCGACAGGCTACTGGACGGCCGGACACGATCGTGCTCACCGTCTCCCGCTGATGCGGACATCCATCTTATCCTCCACCGACCTACGCCATGGGTTACCCTCGTGCTATATCCCGTTGTCATGCTTGATGTGCCTTCTATATGCCATGCACATAAACCTGAAATCTGATTCCGTGTTTGCTACTGGTTGGATAGCCGCTTCCACGGCGCTTTGCTCACTGGTAGCAGCGAGTGTCTCCGCTACGAGGAAAACGGTTTTTTTTTTGCTTGGACCTGATGGTCCCCCTGCCAGTAATCTCGTGGTTCCGGAAATTCGTTTCCAATTGTTTTTTTTTCGTTCACCAGGGGAGACTCCTTAATCCGACACTATCGGCCCGGAATTCAAAGCGGGCGAACTCGCTTAAGATCAGAAGACCATTGGGGAAAAAACAAAAAACAGGATATTCGAAAAAGGACACTCGTTTTCGATGTCATTTCGTTTTTCCGCGGGGCCATGGCCGGGTCTCGCGGATTTCTTGTCTAAGCAAGTTTCGAAAACGTTTTTCCTTTTCCCATGCATTTTGTTAGCGCGCAGTTGGTGATAGAACGCCATCAGCAGTTCAAATTAAATTTTTAAATGATGTTGAGCCCAGCAGAGCCGGCAGTGAAGCGAAGTAGTGAAAGTGGATTCCCCTGCAGGGACGATTGAAGTGCGGACCTTTTTATAATTTAGTGAAGTGATTTTTAAGTGAACAGGGCTCCGGCGTTCGCCCACGAGAGTGTTATGCTGGGTAACCCCATTTTACGCGCGTGTATAGTTTAATCAAGTTTTTCTGTATAGTTGCGCAACGCACTATCGATCGATTGCTTTCGGCTTCGTATGGGTACATTGGCCGTCAGGCCACCAGAAGTCAACGCTGGAGGGCACCATGCGGAACTGCTTGCAATCGACCAGTTTTGACTGTCGATTTTGTGCTTTTCGTAAATTTGTTTATCCTGCATATAGTTTTCTGTTTATCCGTCCGCTCCATGAGCCAGGTACGTTTTATTATCTAATCATGTATGAGCTTTAGAAAAGTAAAAAGTGCTTCCAGTCCTTTTCAGTTAATTTCATATGATGAGATTACTTAATACGCGTGTTCGCGTCCCCCTCCGTATTCTCTCTATGTGTACGTATGTATGTGTACATACATACGTATACGTTAGTGGAAGTGCTCACTCTGTAACTTGCATTTACTTCGCCCATTTCGAATTTTTCCTTTTTTGTATCTCGCCTCGCAACTGTCGCAGCTGTCCAGCTGCTGACTTCTTTTGGGCATAAGCTTTTTACGGACTGTACATGTCACAGCTGCAGGATTGTTGCAATCGATCGGGACCACATCTTGCTCGCGTAACGCCTAACTCCTTCTCGAATTCTTGTGCATCGGTCTGCTAGGGTGCTCACCGCACGTAAGGCACCCATTTGCTCGATCCTAAATTTCCTACTTCCCATACTAAGCCCACTGATTATGACTCATCCTTTGTTTTCGCGAGGCACGCTCTTTACTCGCCTCGCAACATCAAGTCATGCACCTTGGAATTTTCGCAGGCCCGCGTAATCGCGAATCTCGATCTTTTCGCCGCAGGGAAAACATTTGAAACGCATTGCTGATATGCGGGGAGCGCATGCAATCAGCAAACTTCCTTGCATACATTCTTTGCTGTAAATGGGGTCGAATATTTTGTTTTGAGAACTGTTCCAAATATGTGCTATCTACCTTTACCCTATATAAGATACTAGTCCAGGCGTACATAACCCTTCTCGTATTTTCCACCATTTCCCAACTAATGCACATAATCCAGCTGTTGGTCTCTGATTCTTCGCCTTGGTCACCATGCCTTCTCAAGCACATACTTCTTCCAGTGACTGATGAGCCCTGTGACTCGATCTCAAGCGCACCTGGTACAATCTAGTTTGGCAGACAACAACTTGCCCATCTCTTCGGAAACTCTTGCGGCGCCATTGTCCACAGCGCTGTCCAGTTTGGACGATTCCGCGACGATGCATGGCCGAGACGCCAAGGAGCTGAAGGACGCAACAACGGAAGCTCTGCTAAACGCCTGGCGTGATGCGAAACGCTCAACCTCCTTGCTAGCCGAGCAGGTAAATCAAGGTAACTCTAACTTACTTCAAGGAGTTAATGAGTCTTTCGCAGCCGTAGGCTCACGTATTGAGCAACATCCGTTGGTCGCAACGTTTTGCCCTGATGTGCTCCCTTCGTATACTCCCATTCAGCGGCGTGTCGCCGTCACAATCATTTGCATTTTGGCTGCGTCGTCTTGAAGACGAAATGCGATTGCTTAAGATAGTTATTTCTCAAGATAAGGCTAACTACCTTATCGCCAATTTAGAGTCTGTTGCAAGAGAACGAACTGAGACGCTCACTTCAGAAGCAAAGATCGATCACGACGCCATTGTCAATCACCTTCGTGTACACTACGAGAGGCCGAAGCATATGACCGACGCAAGACACCTTCCCTTTTCCCCTCCATTTTCTGTATTTTCTTTTCCTTTACCTTATTTTCATTGGTTTATTCATTTAGTTAGCTTCACATGCACCTTCCTTTGTTTCCTTTTGTTAGCTTTCTGCTTCAGCCGGGCAAGTCTTCTCAGGCACCAGGAGAGATCCTTCGCTTGCCGCAGCCCCTCTCCACAACCCCACTTGGCAGCCCATTTCGGTACGCCGCCCCTATCGCCAGATCCCGCAGCCTTTGGCCGTACCATCCCCCGGCTCCACCCACCCGCTCATTCATAGCCATCCGTGGGCCCATCTCGTTCGTCCCCGCCTGCACTTCGCGTCCCTCACGGACAAAGACGTTACCAACACCATGCCTGTCAAAAATTACCGCCATATTCCTCAGTCCAATTACTCTGGGTACAAGTTCACCAAATGGTTGTTCCCATTTGTAGACCCCGAGCACAGCAACGAATAAATCCTCGCTATCGAGCTCCAAACTCCGGAGACTGCTGTACGCTTCCTCTGGGACGCCATCTACATCAGGGACCAACCTCTTGATAACTCCTACATCCCCACGGAGAATCAACTTCCTCCAACACCCGCCGGCAAGAACCCCACCCTCAAACGCCCTCCTATTGCGCTTCAAGGACGTCGTCCAGTCCTCTACCAGGTGGTGGCAATAGGGTTCAAGGAGTCATCTTGGAAACAAAGGACTTCCTTGTCCCAGGCCCGGATCTACCTGAGTTGCATTGTATCAGGCTTGACCAGTTCGCAACCTATATTATATTGCTTTTAAGAGTAACTAAAGATCGTTCCGCTGGCAACGAGGGGGCATGCGTCCCACCTCCATGGATTCAAAGTTTTGGAGTTATAAATCTCATGCCTACATCCTATCAACACATTCAGTGCAAGCTGTTTCATCTTCTCACATTAGTCTGATTAGGATCAGACTCGGACTGACATGATGATGTCTGCATTTGTTTACATGTCTTGTTCGTTTACGCTGTATTACTAACTTCTTGATGTGTCTTTTTTGATGGAACGCCTTGAGGGTACAAATGAAATGAAATGAAATGAAATGAAATGAAATATCCAGTCAAACACCCGTGGCTTCTACAAAACCTTAGTTTCCGTCAAGGATTTAGTCTGGATTTGGTCTAGAGCCAATCCCACAAGCCCTCACAGATCCTCAAAGAACTGGAGCGTGCTCGCTCCCCATGCTCGTATACTCTTGACAACGACGCGGCTTTCTTTTTCCGCGCAGCCACTTTTGCGTTTGTGACACCAGAGATCTGGTCTTTCTCGGTACTGTCCTGCGAGTCCTCATTAAAGGTAGAAGACCGTTCAAGTTCTCTACGGCATTTGCCGACGCGCCTGATGCTGTGTATGTAACACCAGCACTAACAGACTTCCCTATCTCGCACAGTGTCGAGGACGAGATGCTCATCGCACAAACGCGGTACAACTCATTGTTCGCCATTCGTTTCTCTGAACCCCCGGCTTCCGTGGAAGCACGTAAAGTCCTATGTAACTTGATCCGATACACCGTACCTTGTCATCTCAGGGAAGGAATTTTTAAGCTGACGTCCACAAGTTGAACACCTTCGACCGCTCAAGGCTCCAAGACCGCGAAGGTTTTTTCCGTAAACCGCCTCGATCCCCACGAAGCAAGGACACGCATTGCTCAGCTGTTCAAAGCCGCAGCCTCTGCCCTCGCTGTCGTGAAAACGGACACCGACGATCAACAAGTGCACAGGGTCGAACCTGTTGTCCCTTCCTTCAAACTTTATCCGCTGCAAGTCTACTATATCCAACATGATTTCCGAACGCGGATGGGAAAGAGGTCGCCCTGTAGAATTGTGGCTCGAGGAAACCCACCACACATTCAACGTCATACCGAGGCACGGCAACTCCGCATCACTCTCATCGCTTATCGGTGGTCTCAAAAAGCCTTGCGGAAGCCGCCGAACGATGGGGAACACCCCTCGGCACTGATCTCCTCCTCGATTGGGCGGTCCGCCTCGGCGCGATCCCAACTACTACCGAGCCCGCTTACGAAGCTGTCGCAAATAAGAATATCTACGAAAACATCCGCGACGGCACCCCAGCGAATACAGCAGTTACACGGATATATGCGCACGAACCCCCGGTCACGGAATCTAACCACAGAGCTCGTGTCCATTCCTTGCCCGACGCGAAGGCTATCATACTTCCGCGATGCTCGCGTTACCCTGTCCCCGCATCAACGCCGTGCAGTCGAGCTGGATTGCTCCGATTATTCCATCGCGGCAATCCAAGCCGCGTTCGGGACAGGCAAAACGCTAGTCGGAGCGCTAATAGCTACACGCCTCGTCTCATCCTCCAACTGCAAGATTGTGGTTACGGTCTCCACGAACGCGAACGCCGCGGTCTCGCAGTTTGCTCAGACGCTCATGGGCTTGGAAACAGCAAAACACCTTAACCTCCTACGTTACGTCTCAGAGGCAGCTGCCTCGGACGACCCAGTACCCCTTCGCGTAGACTTGAACCCGAAATTCCAACCCAGCGAAGTTTGGCGCCAAGAGCACGATGGATGTGTTCATGTCCTCTCCCGCTGTGCCGGTAGCCTCATTAGTTACCACATTCAGATCACATCCCTTGCTCAATGGACTACCCAATGATCTCATTTATGGAGGCACGTTACAAAGTAGGGCGCCGCCGAAGACAGATCGATGCTCCTGGACGCCATGATGGTGCCCGATTGTCAAACTCCCTTTATCGATTTCGCAGGAAACGCTGAGCGGCGACCACAGGTCGTATTTTAACGACGCAGAGGCAGAAGTGTGCCGTAACATCACCGACCGACTACATGCCCGCCGCATCCGGCCTCAGCCACTATGCAAACTCTGTTCCTATAAGGAACAGTTGCGTCGGATGGACACCTACGCCCGCGAAGCCCAGATAGAGCTCTCCATGGTAGACTCTATCCAAGGACGCGAAAAAGACATAGTCGTCTTACTGACCACCTAATGACATCGACCCCAACGTGTCCGCAGAGTTCCTTGATGATCGTAAGCGCCTCAACGTCGCTGTGACCAGAGCGCGGCATGAGCTCTTCCTCCTGGGGCACGTCGCTTCGCTACGATCGGTTCCATCATGGGCACGAATCATCCGCTGGGCCAAACAACGCCAAGCCGTTGTCCCTGCAGCTGACCTCGGCAGGTTTCTGCCAGCCAATGACGGTAGGTCTTTTCCTTTTTTCTATTGCACCCCCTGCACGAGCTTTTGGTTTTTGAGTCCGAGGACGGACTTGTAGGAAAGTGGGGGAGGTGTAAGAGGTCCTCTCGCGTGATGTTCATAACTATGACTCATCTATTCAGGGAGTGGCCAGACTGTTCGCTGCCTCGAAGAGTCTTCCCCACCGACAGGCTATTGGGCGGCCGGACCCGAACGTGCTCACCGTCTCCCGCTGATGCGGACATCCATCTGTATCCCCCACCGACCGCCATGGATTACCGTCGTGCTAGATCTCGTTGTTATGCTTGATGTGCCTTCTATTAGGTTGTAAAGAAAGTTCCCGGGCACTTTTGAAAATTTCATTTTCAAACGCATTTTTATGGCGCTCGGTCGGACTTTGACGCCAAGTTTTTTGTACTATTTAGTAGAGGGAATCCTGAAGTTTTCAATACGCCTTCTGACTTTTATCGATGCCAAGACGTGTTTGATCTGCACATCAAAAAGGGAAATCTTTTCAACCACAAAAATTTCATAGTTTTTCTTTTTACGGCCATTTTTTTGTGCATTTCAAAGAATTTCGTCCAAATCATGGGTGATCTGATTGGAAAGTCTGTCAACTTCTTACCCGCAACTGCACTCGAGTTTTGCGATTTGCGCCTAGAAATTACAAGCTGTCGAACTTGCCTCTACTGCAACTCTTTTCGCAGCTGGCGTCGCTTCTGCGGAGATCGCCACGCCCGGATGATAGGTCCAAAAGATGTGTAAGGCATTACCCCGCCAATGTTGCCAGTAATCAAAGATTTGGTCATTTCTGTGCAGAACTAGAACACTTCAAAGTCATTTACTCGAAAAATGGTGCATTTTTGGGGGCAAAAAATGCTCGATTTTTCAAATTTTTTTGGAAAAATTTTTTTACAGCTGGTCCTTTAAAAACATGAATGATCCCCATAACAGCGCCAGCGGACCTCTATATAACTACAGCATCTGGGCTTTCCAGCTCTCATTCTGCCTGAGATAATCCTGCACAAACAGGGCACTTTTCGCAACGACCTTTTTCCCTTCTGCGCATGTCGGTGGATCGCAGTGAGGTGCTGAGAAGCCAGCAAGACAAATATATGTTGTGGACAAAATTGTCTTTGCAATGAAGTTTGTAGCTTGACAAAAGAATCAATCTGCTTGAAGTTACAGCGATTTGAAAAAATTTTTCGCAAATGCCCGGGAACTTTCTTTACAACCTAATATATGCCATGCAGATAAACTTGAGATCTGATTCCGTGTTTGCTACTAGTTGGATAGCCGCTTCCGCGGCGCTACGCTCACTCTACCCTTAGAACACTACCTGAGCTGCCGGTTGGACAGTGGCTTAATCAAAGCCCTGAAATTACTTTCCACGTGAAATCCCCATAGGTCCAAATTTGCCTGTACACTA